TATATATATATATATATATTAAAATTTTAAAATTATTATATTTTTAATAAGAAAGACTAAAATTGCACAATCATGATATTTGAGAGATTAAAATTATTCAATTAAAAATGGTGAGACTAAAATTACACAACTATAATCTTTTAAAGACTGAAATTACTCAATTAAAACCTTAGGGATCAAAATTGCATAATTATCACTATTCTCAGTTTTGGAACGGTCCGTTCTGAAACCAGAACGGGCCGTTCTGATTTCAGAACGCCCGTTCTAATGCACTTCTGGTGTGTTAATTTTGATTTTGCACCTGGAACGGGCCGTTCCGGATGCAAAACTAAAACACCAAAAGTGCAACCAGAACGGCCCGTTCCGGTTTCAGAACGGGACGTTCTGGGTCCAGGTGTTTTAAAAAAAATTGGCATCCATGTGGCATCCACGTATGCATCTACGTGGCATCCACGTTGCTAAAAGTTAACTCCGTTTAAATAATTTAGACGGAAGTCCCACATTGAAACTAATTAATTAATTTGGGACTAAATTGAAACCAATTAATTAGTTTGGGACCAAATTGAAACCAAAAATTAAAATGGGACTAAATTGAAACAAATAATTAATATAAAGGACCAAATTAGTGTTTTAACCTAAAAATTATTAGGCACAGTTTCCTTATTATTTGAAGTTAAGAAATAGAAAAGGAAAAATGAAACTCCATTTGTCATCAATCATTAAAAATAAAATATTAATGTTCCATGTAAAATGTGGTTTAAATAACATTTAGGACCCATGTGTAACAACATTTAACATCTTTAAGAGAAGGTGTAAAAAAACATCTTTAAGACAAAAGGGTGATTTATCCCCTTCATTTTTTTCTTCTTCTTGGTAACTACCACTGACTATCTTTCTAAAGTATTGACTTTTTAAAATAATTCAATTATTATAAAAGTGCTAGAAAGGAACGTTAAAAATTGTATTTGTGATACTCTCATATTCTATCCATAAAAAGTTAGTTTTTTTAAATAATGTGACATAGCACAAGGTTAATTAGATACAGACAAATTCTTAGAATGGCTTAGATTATATCATCTTTTGTTATTATAGGATTTTTCCCCTCTCGTTTAAGCTTTTTCTCACTTTCTTTTTCAATTCCCTCAACATTTTTTTCTTTTACCATCATCTCATATTCTTTACCACTTCTTGTTACTATAACACTATAGTTCTCTTTAG